TGCACAATTCTCTGAGAACACTGTAGCCCAATGGTATCAATGTGGATTTCACAAGTTTCAAAATCTCCCCTCCCCCTACCGCATCCCAAAACCAGTCCAGCTCGTCCCCGTCTCCCTAACCTGTTCTTCCTCCCACCCATCCCCTCCTCCCACCTCAAGCCGCACCTCCATCTCCTACCGACCAACCTCATCCCGCCCCCTTGACCTGTCCGTCCTCCCTGGACTGACCTATCCCCTTCCTAACTCCCCACCCACACTCACCTTTACTGGCCCCATCCCCGCCTCTTCGACCTGTTTGTTTCCCCTCCACCTATCCTCTCCTCTATCCATCTTCTATCCGCCTCCCACTCTCTCCCTATTTATTTCAGAACCCCCTTCCCCTCCCCCTTTTCTGATGAAGGGTCTAGGCCCGAAACATCAGCCTCTCTGCTCCTATGATGCTGTTTGGCCTGCTATGTTCATCCAGCCCTGCACCTTGTTGTCTCGGATTCTCCAGCATCTGCAGTTCCTACTATCTTTGTGCAATTCTCTGGTCAGTACACACCTTGAGTAACATGTACAACTTTATTGACTGAATCACAGTAGAAATATTGGACATGATTTTGCAGTCAACAATAAAGCAACAGCACCTATTGTCAATTGCAAAGTTAATCACCTACAAAGATCTACCAGTCTGTGTACGCACTAATTACCACTTCCTTAATGGTTGTTTATTCTGTTGCCATGTCATTGAGATCTTCAGCCATCCAGCAGCAATGATATCAGAAAGCTAGGTGAACAGCCATTCAGATTGAGGTATTTTCACAGACAGCAAATCAGCAGTTAAAAACACTGATAATCCTTAATTTTGTGTTAACATTCTCAGAATTTGAAACAAATGATAATGAATGGATTAAACTAGAAGGCGACATGCAATAAACAAACTCTAAACCAAAAAGACAGTGAACTTTTTATTATAATGTAACAATATTACATTTCAGCAGTACAAAACTAACTTCACACTGTCAGAGAAATTATGCTTTTCGGAACCCAGATTAAATCTCATTCAACAATGTGTAACTTTTCAAGAATTTTTGCAACGAGTCTAACAGAGTAAGAATGGCAATTTTCATTAATTCACTGATTGATTAGCAGTTTCAGAAGAGATGGACCTCAATCATGCAAATATAGTATCACTGACAGAAATTTCTTGATGTCTGTTTCCTTTTGTGCATGTGTGTAATTCCAAAGATGTTATCAGTTTTGATGAAGTAATGATTGTGAACACTGACAGTTTTGCTGACATAATGACTGCCAGCTTCAAGCCATTCAAACCAGAAGGCAGGAAAATGATGAGCCATACTGTTGATCCTGAAATTTGGGGTATAAATTATAAAGAATGACCCAAAAGATTTAGACTCTTCAACCTTGAAAGGAAGCAACTAAGAAGAAACCCTGTTGGAGCATACAAGCTGTTCAAGAAAGAGTGACAGAATGAATGTCATTGGTGCTGAAAATATCAAGTTATTTTATAGACTGTTGGGCATTTCTAAATGGATGAACTAAAACAAAATATTCTTGCTCATCATAGTTATCTTGTGATTTTGTGATCTTGTACTGTTCAACTGGAGGCTATTACCTGATTCTTCAACATTTAGTCAAAGGTGGGAGAGCACTGAACATTTCTTAGTTTAATAGCGCTGAGAAACACTTAATTCATGTAATTTCCTACGCCTGTTACTGCTTCTGACATTCGTCTGTGTGTGTTAGACTTTTCAGATCATCCACTCTGAGTATTTCGTCCTAATCTTGATTATTCTACTCCGTCTGCCTCAAAGAAGTTGTTTGGTATGTTTGCCTTTATTGGACAGTACATTGAGCATAGGAGTTGGGAGGTCATGTTACGGCTGTACAGGACATTGTTTAGGCCACTTTTGGAATACTGTGTGCAATTCTGGTCTCCCTGCTATAGGAAGGATGTTGTGAAGCTTGAAAAGGTTCAGAAAAGATTTACAAGGACATTGCCAGGTTTGGAGGGTTTGAGCTATAGGGAGAGGCTGATTAGGCTGGTGCTATTTTCTCTGCAGTGTCAGAGGCTGAGGGGTGACATCATAGAGTTTTATAAAATCATGAGGGACATGGATACGGTAAATAGGAAAGGTCTTTTCCCCGGGGTGGAGGTATCAAAAACTAGAGGGCATAGGTTTAAGGTGAGAGGAGAACTAATTAGAAGGGACCCAAGCGGCAACATTTTCACGCAGAGGGTGGTGCATTTTTGGAATGAGCTGCCAGAGAAAGTAGTAGAGGCTGGTACAATTACAACATTTAAAAGACATCTGGACAGGTATATGAGAAGGAAGGGCTTAGAGGGATATGGGCCAAATGCTGGCAAATGAGACAAGAATAATTTAGAATATCTGGTTGGTATGGACGGGCTGGACCAAAAGGTCTGTTTCCATGCTGTACATCTCAATAACTCTATGACTCTAAATGTGATCGTGTCATTGTGTGTTTTATACAATGCTGCATGTCATGTTCTTTAACTAAAATCTCTTTGATTTCACTCTTTTTCACATTTTCTGTTAAGCTAGGTATGCACCAGAATGTCTTGTAATTTTAAAATTCAATTTTCGGCATGTCTTGTTTCATGTTTTTGGAAACGTTTTTGATATAATTTCTGTTTTTCTGTGAGCTCCAACTTGAATCATTGCGGTGGATTTTAAATCTAGCATAGTGTCTTTTTTTTTACTAATTTCTGTGTGAAGACTGCATTTCAGATGCTGCAAGCCAGGAATTGGTCCTCACACTATGCTGCTTGACAATTATAACTGAAGACATTGCTAATTAGCCCTTAGCTGAGTTTCTGCACCCATATTCTCTCTCTCTAAATCCATCTATTCCACTTTGATAATAATGTCTTTCTCCAGCTCTGCCTCAGCTTATCTGTTGCTGAAAACACCTCCATATCTTAAACACCTTTCATGATAAAGGATGATGTTCGTTAGCCTTCTTAAGAAGAATAAAATTGGTTGATACCATTACTCTGGCTCTGACTGCAGTAGAGAAGAATTCACCCCTCATGATCTCTGAGGCAATGCTTTTTTTTCTATTTCAATACAAATACTGATTGTGTGGCCTTTTGCAATCTTCTTGACTTCAAACTGCCAATACAGAATGCTTTCAGATTTCCAACACACGAGATGAGTCAACAAGCCATTTCAATGTTACATATTTTATGTGGCTTAAAAACATATTTTAGCATGTAGGAAAGATGACAGCAGCTGCACTAACGTGCAGCAACAAATTCAAATGCCATGTTTGTAGCATTTGAATGTTTTCAAGAAAGCAAATGAGAACATTTATTACTCTTCAAACAGCAAACATTGCAACTATTGTGATGTGGAATAATGAGGTATCAACAGAAAATATAAGTGAACTGTGATACACCATTTTGACTTTTCTAGTACAATATTGCTTTAAAATCTATTTTACAGACTTAAAACAAGCACGTTATGTATTGTGTACCAAAGTGGCCAACCTACATATGGACAAAATTAACCAGCTCAATAGCTCCAGTTCTTCCCTCCTTCCTATTGAACTAATGAAAGAAACCCAGAAATCAACAGCCAGGAATCTTTGAAATAATGTAGAAGCAGGATATCTCATCTGTTTTAACTTCTGGTCAAAGAATTTAATGGTTAGGTGTTCATAAAAGTCACATGGAGCACCTTGGAAGAAATGTGTGCTGTTTGTCTCTTGCAGCTCTCAAATTTCTCTAATGTTCCTTCCCAGTGCCTTACCAAATTAATTAATTACTACTCCCACCTCTACTTAACCTTCCTAGAAAGACAATGGCCCCAACTTATGAACTGATTAATTTTGAACTGATCTCTTGATCTTCCCCCAGAATTAGTCTCTGCTCAGGAATCTGAATACAACCCTGCTTGATAACTTATCCAGTCAAAATCACTGTCTATGTAACTACTCCTCTCCTTACAAGAGCCTGGAACTGGGAATAATCTGGAGATTATTCTCTTTGAGGTACTGGTTTAAAAATTCCTTCCCTGATGAATTGGAAACTTACCTGTGCATCGGCTCAAACATTTTCCTATATGATTGGTTTGGACGTGAACCAAAAACTCTCATTTGTGCCCTTCCCATTTTAAAGTATTCTTTAGGCTCTGCATGTCTACCGTGCAAAATCACTGAATTAAATGTATTAATTAATATTGCAGTGAACATAAAGTTTGAAATGATAGGCTATGAGCATGTCATTGTTCAACCTTCTTTTAATAGAATGAAGAGATGTGTGCCAGGTGGATAGGAAATGGATCTGATTGCCATTTAAAATGGGTGTATTTTCTAAAATGTTTTGTTAGCTGTCAGAAGTTGTATTTATCATGAAAGGTTTTGCTAAACATCATGCCACAGTGTAACGTGTTCAATCAGATTAACTCACCTTAATTGGAAAAAAAATTGTTTGAGCAAAAGAACAAAATTTGCAAGAGATGTGTTTTCAAAGGAACTTTTGTTCTTCTGTGCTGTCTAATTGCAAAATTCACACAGTCTATTCCAGCTGCCATTAAATGGAGCATGTAGTAAAACACAAATTGTAGCAAGCTTCTGGAAGAAGATGTATCATTAAACTATGAATAGGTAATCCCTTATTGAAGATAAAAGTGGTATAAGATAGTTTGGTGTCATGTCAATGACAGATCCAGTAACTTTTAAAAAAACAAATTATCTGATTCTGACACAGCACATTTGGTGGTATAGACTTGACAGCAAATTTAAATGTTCTGGGTCGACCCAATGCGTTTACATTGAATAGTTCAAGAAGATAGCTCAATACCACCTTCTTCTCAAGGGCAATTAGGAATGGACATTAAACGCTGGCCTAGCTGCAATACCCACATGAATGAACAATAAAAAAAATTCAAGTGGTATGATATAACATGGTATGAAAGCAAAGGCCATGTTTTACATTGTGCATACTGTATTAACAGCTTTCTATTTCACAGGTGCTAAAAAGGAAGAAACTGCATTGATGAATGGACTAACTGTGAACTTACATCTCCTGCTGGTGAGAAGTCATTTTTATTACACTTCATTTTGAAAAATCATGCAATTAGAATCCAGTACTTTGAAGAACTGGTATATGGTAACCACTTGCGTTACAATCATTTTTTTTCCCTTTTGTTACACTGTGAATCATGTGGAGGTCACCTAACCATTGGAAAAATATAGAAAGGCTTATCTTAGTTACATTTTACATGATTTAATTTTGGTGGGATTAAAAACTGTTCAATGAAAACATGAGCGTGACAAAAAGACAACTGCAATCTATTACCATAATACACTATGTATATGCACTCTATGCAAAATTAAATTTGCATATGATGCTATCTCTTGCATGTGCACATATCCATCAGAATTAGACATAACTAAAAGCAAACATCAAATGCAGTCTTTGAAAAGGCTCTTTTGTGAATGTTCTCCTTTCCTCAATTTGTTTCCCTTTTCTCTTGAAATGTTACATTATTCTTTTCTTTCTTTCTCTTTTTTTTTCTCCTGATTGCAGTTCAAGTAACTGTATGACGTTAAGGATATCCAGGCAAAAAAGAAGTAATGAAGAAAGGGGCAATAAACTAATAACTAGCTTGAAGCATTTGAGCTGTGAGGTGATTCTGAAGAAATTAGGGTTGCTTATTCAAGGAATGTTGCAAGAATCTGATAGCTTTATGGGAATAAACAGATTATATCAAAGAATTCCCATAAACTGTAGAATCAAAGCACACTAGCTGGGGCTCTTGTGGCACATTGGCAGTGTCCCTACCTGTAAGCCAGGAGACATGAGTTCATAGCCCCACCTGCTGCAAAAGTGTGTAATAACATCTTTGAGCATGTTGATGAGAGAGCATCTCAAAGCAGAGTGGCTCACATTCAGAGGAGAGAAAATTTGGAGATTTAACTACTTTATCAAAAGAGTGGTGAATCTGTGGAGCAGATAAAGACAGAAATTGCTGACGAAACCCAGCAGGTGTGACAGTATCTGTGGGGAGAAAGCAGAGATAATGTTTCAAGTCTGGTGACTCGTGGAGAAGTCTTCAAAGTGACAATTTCTGCTTTTATTTCCGATCTCCTGCATCCACAGTTCTTTGTTTTACTTCTGTGGCATAAATGGCCTTGAGTAGCACTGAAGTATGTTAGTGTTGAAAAATATTAAAGAATAGATTGATAAATAACAAAGAAATTGACATTTTGAGGGATATTAAGTTTTGTCATCAGCTTAATTATCCATATTTTTAAAAAATCTTTTGCTTTCATGTGTTTTCTCCTCCCTTTTCTTCCCTGTGTCGTTTCCTTTGTCCTCAGGGCACAGGTGCTGATTGTCTTCTAGTATCTCATCCAAGAGGCCAATCTTCACAGGATTTAAACAGTGGGATAGATATTGACCTTGTGTGATAAAGTAAAACAGATGCTAGTGAGTCAGCAGCCCATTTTACATCTCCCCTGACTTCAATGGAAATTAAAACCAGTGTAAAATGGGATGCCAATTTGTTATCTGATTACACTATCCTACATGTCATAGCAACTCGTAATTTCTGATCAGCCAAAAATGATTTTGGCAACATCTGAGAGTAAATAGCTCTGGAAATGTCTGAAGGTGACCATAATCTGTGTCCATTTCTAATCCTAATGTTCACGGAAGCTGGGAATTCATTTTTTAAATTTGCTTTCCTTATTGCAACCAGCTAATAGAATTGGAGAAAATGCAATATAGCATAATGTCACCATACAGTAATTTTCTTGTGCTGATGCTCGTACTTCTCACTGTAGCTGTACCTATTCATCTTATTTTGCTTTTCCTTTCCTATATCCACCTGTGTCATTTTTAAGTCGCCCTGTCATAAATGTTGCAATTAACATTGCTTTAACTGATGGGGTGGCTTTCAATATCTAACAACATTGCTAGCTTAAAACAAAATCCTTCATGTTTTTTATCTTTATGTACTAATTCAAAATTTATGACCCTTGTTGTTAATTCACTGATCACTAACTTATCCCTTTTAACCTTTTCAAAATGTTGATGACTACTATAAGACTTTATCTTAACTTAACTTGCTCTATTGGATGTAAGTGGTGTTCTGAAATGAAGATGAGAGACTAATTAAAACATGTATATATGTATCACCTTGATTAATCCACTTTGTGCTTCTTCCATGGTTCTATGATATGTTTTATAATCTGATGTAACTGTAGAAAGCAAGTGCCTTGTATTTATGTCAAAAAATATTTTTATGTTTCTATTCAGTGCCACCATTTAGAAAACTTATGTGGCATTTTTATGGTTTTCCTACCTATAAGTCTGCTTTTTAAAGATATTTGTACCTATGCTCCATGAACTTTGTTCCTCCGTTAAAATCATTTTCTCTGTCCTTTTCTTCTCATGTCCATTCTCATACCGTATTTCTGATGTTCCTTGTACGAGGCCACATTATCAATTTACCAAGTGAGCATATTCTTCGAAACTTCTTATCGCTGAAATAATAGCCATTTTTTTCCTGATAAATGCTGCTCGCTGGAAGCCTAGTCTGAAGGTCATAGGAGTTGAGAACCTGTGAGCTCAGTTTTACATTTATTAAAATTAATAGATATAAAATCATGAGCAGCCTGCCCTTAATAGCATGGACAACAGAATGAAATCAGCTCAGCTTCATCAGCTAGTGGTTAGAATATTGAGTTGCCATGGAAGTGTTTGATTGGAGCCAAGTTATTTCTTCCAAACTGTACTTGTGTTGAGAATAAGGATTTTGTTTTGATTTTGAATTAGATGGCAACTTTAGTAACCAGCTAAAAGCAACATCTTGTACTGAGGTTATTCTGCTATAATGTGGCAAAGATTGTTATTATCTCCCTAAAAACATCCTGGAGAGGAGATTTCATGGAGAGACCTAGCAATGCGGCTGTAAGGTGCTCATATTCTGAACACTATTTGGTCTACAGTGTGGCAACTGCGTATGCAGTGCACACTCATTATGAGCTGAAAGTACACAATTTGCTGTATTTATAAAGGGCAAAAATCAGTGTAGAGTAGTCATGCCTGATAAAGGCATCAGACCCTTTGCTTTTACAAATAAAATAGCTTAACATCTTCTCTGAGGCTCCGTTGATAGATTGATTTTTCTTTTCTCTCTGAAGCAGGTACTTTCTGTTAAAGCACACCTAGCAAGGCAAAATCTGTAAACATATTTACATAAAAATGCAGCCAGGACTCTCCCTCCAATATCGCTTCTGAACACTGATAGTCCCCCCACCTTGACTGCACGTTGTCCTTAATCTTCCGGTTTGTAGTTTTTCCTTCGTAGGTGTTGCTACCTCCCTCCTTGACCATCCCTATCACATCCCAGCAGCTCTATAAGACTATCAGACCATAAGACAGAGGAACAGGTGTAGGCCATTCGGCCCTTCAAACCTGCTATGCCATTCAGAAGGACGGTGTCTGATCCAACATTCCTCACATCTACTTTTCTGTGTTTTCTCCTTAACCTTTCATCCCACAGTGGCTCAGTGGTTAGCACTGTTGCCTCACAGTGCCAGGGACCTGTGTTCAATTCCAGCCTTGGGTGACGTCTGTGTGGAGTTTGCACATTCTCCCTGTGTTTGCATGAGTTTCCTCCGGGTGCTCCAGTCTCTCCCCACAGCCCAGAGATGTGCAGGTTAGGTTGATTAGGCCTGCTAATTGCCCATAGTGTCCAGGGATGTGTAGGTTAGGTGGATCAGCCATGGGAAATGCAGGGTTGCAGGGATAGGATAGGGGAGTGAGTATGGGTGGGATGCTCTTCAAAGAGTTGGTGTGGACTAGTTGGGCTAAATGGCCTGCTTCCACACTGGAGGGATTCTATTACTGTATTCTATGACTTTAATTCCTGAGTTAATAGTCCGCTCCTTTCCTAGTAACCCAATTCCATTCATCACTGTTCTTGATTGTGTCACATCCATGAGGACAGCTCTGACAGCAGCATTTTTGTTGGGTTTTGACACTTAGTAGCCCATTGCTGGCCACAACTCAAAAATTCATTGAAAATGAGGCCCGAGGTCTAACACTGTGGTGTGCCTAGGTATCACCATTTGCATGCAGGGAATGACGCCAATTCCCCTTGTGCCCCAACAATAGGCATGCTCAATTTTCACCTTAAACTTACCTACAAGCAGATTTTATCATTGGTTCAGTTTGTATTTATCAAATGTAATGAGTTTCCAATACCTCTTTTCTGGTGAAAACAAAAGGCTCAGATCTTACAGTCAGTGATGAAAAGATGGTACTCACCACTGTTCTCAAAATAAAGCTGACCATAAAGATCTAATGATCACTGTGGCATGGATTTCCCCCTTCTTGACATTGATTTGAATCTGGCACCAAGTCAAAGAAACCTTCAAACTTTATGACAACAACATTGCCATCGAGCAGCCAGTAACACTGAAATGTTCCTATGGTCAGAAAGCCAAGAATTAAGATGTTGAATAAAAGCAAAATACTGTGGATGCTGGAATTCTGAATTAAACACAAGGGGATGTTGTTGAAACTCAACAGGTCTGAAGGCATTTCTGAAGAAGGGTCTAGGCCTGAAACGTCAGCCTTCCTGCTCCTCTGATGCTGCTTGGCCTGCTGTGTTCATCCAGCTCTACACCTTGTTATCTCAGGTCTGGAGGCAGCTGTGGAGAGAGAAAAAAATGTAAAGAAATAAAATTAACTGATTTTCTTGCTTAAATTTTACAGATGTTGAATTAAAGATTGGGGTATGCATAGTTGTAGCTGAAATGTCATGAACAAATTTCTAAAAATCCATCTGATAATTCAAGACATAATTTGTGGAATCATAACCATATTTGAAATTGACAATATACAAATATAAAATTAGTTTGCTAAGTGGGCTCCATGATAGTTTAACCTTGGCGTGAGTTGGGTATCCATCTCGCCATTGTACCTAGTGAAAGATGATATGATCATTGAAGAGACCACAAAAGATAAAGTGTAAAATTTGTTTTTGTGGAGTTAGGGAGAAGAGGAATAATCCTTGAACCTTCACCTTAACTTCACCCCAACCTTCCCACTGGTCAGACTCTTACAATACTCCATCCTTACCTTTTGTCTTAGTATGGCATTCTCTGGGGCAAGTGATTTAACCAGTTGACCGCACTGCCTTGTGAATGCTGGAAATCTGAATTAAAAACAGGTGATATTCGAAATACTCCGTAGGTCAGGCAACATCTGTGGAGGGAGAGGGAATTATCATTTCAGGTTGATTGCATTAAAGCATAGAAATAGAAAACAGAAGGTTAGTGAGATATGTGTTAAGCAGGCTAATATACAATGGCATTTTGAGATCAAGAAAGAAGTTGTGTTGAGTCTCTTGAAGAGCATTAAGGTAGTTAAGTCCACAGGGCCCAATGATATCTACCCTAAGTTATTGAGAGAGGCAAGAGAGGAGATTGTTGGCGCCTTGACCAAGGTCATTGTATCCTCATTAGCCACTTAACAGGTCCCAGAGAACTGGCAAATAGCTAATATTGGTCCTCTATTTAAGAAAGGAAATAAGTATAGTCCTGGAAACAATAGTCCAGTGAGCCCACATCAGTGGTTGGGAAGCTATTGGACAGAATTATTAGGGACAATATCCCTAATGTGTTTGGAAAAGCATGGCCTAATTAGGGACAGTCAGCTTGGCTTTGTGCAGGACAGCTCATGTCTTACTAACTTGATTGGAATTTTCCGAGGAGGTGACAAAGTGAAAAATGAGGGTGGAGCAATGGATGTTGTCTACATGGATTTTAGTAAGGTTTTCAACAAGGTCCCTCATTGTAGGCTCATACAGCAGTTTAAGATGCATGGGATCCATGGTGACCTGGCTGCATGGATTCAGAATTGGCTTACCTCATAGAAGGTAGAGAGTCATGGTGGAAGTTAGTTTTTCAGGCTGGCGGTCATGACTAGTGGTGTTCCACAGAGTTCCGTACTGGGACCTCTGCTGTTTTTGATAAATATAAATAACTTAGATGAAAATGTAGATGGGTGGGTTAGTAGGTTTGCAGATAATAGAAAGATCAGAGGAGTTGTGGATAGTGTAGTAGGTGGTCGGGTCAAAGGATACTGTGAGATATAGATCAGTTGCAGATATGGGCAGAGAAATGACAGATGATGTTTAATCTGTGTAAGTGTGAGGTGCTGCACTTTGAGAGATCAAATGTTAAGAAAAAGTACAAAGTTAATGGCAGGACCTCGAGCAGTTCTGATGTACAGAGGAATCTTGGGGCTCGAGTCTGTAATTCCCCGAAAATGGCCATGCAAGTAGATAGGTGGTAAAGAAGGCATATGGCAGCTTGCCTTTTTGGCTGGGGAATTGAATACAAGAATTAGGATGTCATATTGCAGTTTTATAAGACTTTGGTTAGGCCACACTTAAGAGTTCTGCTTTCAGTTCTGGTCGCCACATTACAGGAAAGATGTGGAGGCTTTGGAGAGGGTGCAGACAAAGTTTACCATGATGCTGCCTGGATTAGAGGGTATGAACGAGAAGGAGAGGCAAGAAAAACTTGGTTTGTTTTCTCTGGAATGGTAGAGGCTGAGGGGAGACTTGATAGAAATGTATAAAATTATGAGATACGTTGATAGGGTTGCAGTCAGAATCTTTTTACCCCAGAGTTGAAATGTCTAAAATTAGGGGGCATGCATTTAAGGTGAGAGGGGAAAGGTTCAAAGAAGATGTGAAGGGCAAGTTTTTTACACAGAGAGTGGTAGGATTGTGGAACGTGCTGCCAGGGGTGCTGGTGGAGGCAGATATGATAGGGGCATTTAACAGCCTTTCAGATAAGCACATGAATATGCAAGGAATGGACGGGGGCCGGCAGAAGGGATTAGTTCATTTAGCATTATGTTCAGTACAACATCTTGGGCCAAAGGGCCCATTCCTATGCTGTACAATTCCAAGCTTTACGTTCTATGTTCTAGAAACAGGAATAGGCCATTTGGCCTTTTGAGACTGCTTCCTGTTCAATAAGATCATGTTTGGTCAGCCAGCTGAGTACCCTGATCCCAAATTCTCCCCATGCTCTTTGATCCATTTTGCCTAAGAACTATATCTAACTCCTGACATAGTAGGAACTGCAGATGCTGGAGAATCTGAGATAACAAGGTGTAGAGCTGGATGAATACAGCAGGCCTAGCAGCATCAGAGGAGCAGGAAAGCTGACGTTTCGGGCCTCGACCCTACTTCAGAAAATCAGCTTTCCTGCTCTTCTGATGCTGCCTGGCCTGTTGTGTTCATCCAGCTCTACACCTTGTTATCTCTATATCTAACTCCTTTTGACTGCAAGTGCTTTCTGTGACAGGCTATTGCACAGGCTCATCACTGTCTGGGTGAAGAAGTTTCACCTTATTTCATTTCATCTCATCTCACCTTTCGCCACAACCAGCTTTATTGAAATAATCAGATTTGAGCAAGGGATAGGCCGAGAACAAAAAGGTCAGTGAAGAGAGGAGAGATTGAAAGACAGAAAAGTTTGTCTTCAAGGGCCAAAGGGAATTGCAATGGATGGGAAAGGAAAGAAACAACAGATGTGCTTAGAGGCTGTCTGAAAACCAAAAAAAAAGGAAAAACAGATGTTCAAAGAAAATACTCAAATGGAGAGGGACAGATTTTTATGAACTGAGATAACAAGGTGTAGAGCTGGATGAACACAACAGACCAGGCAGCATCAGAGGAGCAGGAAAGCTGATGTTTCGGGTCTGGACCCTTCTTCAGAAATGGGGGAGGGGAAGGGGGCTCTGAAATAAATAGAGAGAGGGGGAGGTGATGGTAGAAGGTGGGTAGAGGAGCAGATAGGTGGAGAGAAGACGGACAGCTCAAGGAGGTGGTAATGAAGCCAATAAAGGTGAGTGCAGGTAGGGAATTGGAATGGGGGTTGGTCAGTGAGGAGGGAGGCATGGGTAGATGTGAGGGAAGACGGACAGGTCAAGGAGGTGGGGATGAGGCTAGTAGGCAGGAAGTGGGGGTGGAGATTGGTCAGTGAGGTGGGAGGAGCAAATATGTGGGAGAAAAGACGGACAGGTCAAGCACTTTTTACACCTGCCCCTACACCGCCCCCTCACCTCCAACCCAGGCCCCAAGAAAACCTTCCACATTAAACAGATGTTCACCTGTACATCTGCTAATGTGGCATATTGCATCCGCTGTTCCCAATGTGGCCTCCTCTACATTGGGGAAACCAAGCGGAGGCTTCGAGATGGCTTTGTGGAGCACTTACGCCTGGTCCATGACAAACGACAACACCTCCCAGTCGCGAACCACTTCAACTCCCCCTCCCATTCCTTGGACGACATGTCCATTCTGGGTCTCCTCCAGTGCCACAATGATACCACCCAAAAGCTGGAAGAACAGCACCTCATATTCTGCTTGGGAACCCTGCAGCCCAATGGTTTCAATTTGGACTTCACAAGCTTCAAAATCTCCGCATCCCCGACCTCATCTCAAGACCAGCCCATCTCGTTCTCGCCTCCTTGACCTGTCCGTCTTCCCTCCCACCTACCCGACCCTTCCTCCTCACTGACCAACCCCCATCCCAACTCCCTACCGACACTCACCTTTACTGGCTTCATCCCCGCCTCCTTGACCTGTCCATCTTCTGTCCACCTATCTGTTCCTCTATCCACCTTCTATCATCGCCTCCCCCTCTCTCTATTTATTTCAGAGTCCCCTTCCCCTCCCCCATTTCTGAAGAAGGGCCCAGACCCGAAACGTCAGCTTTCCTGCTTCTCTGATGCTGCCTGGCCTGCTGTGTTCTTCCAGCTCTACACCTTGTTATCTCAGACTCCAGCATCAGCAGTTCCTACTATCTCTGAGTGAGTTTTTACAAACTGAAATTTTTAAACTCAGTATTGAGTTTGGAATGCTGTGAAGTCACTAATTGAAAGCTGAGGTGCTCTTGGTCAAGCTTGCATTGGACTTAACTGGAACAATGCAACAAGCCAAGAACAGGAAATCAGCATAAAACACCACACACCCGCACCCCTCACCACCCATCCATGGCACTGTATTTTTCAAAGCCATTTCATCAGTTTCAGTCAGTTTCATCGTGATTGTTATAAATAAAATGGGCATGCTTCTTTTTCTCAACTAGTATTGTCACAAGTGTTTGTTTCCTTGTTTGGCAAACTAACTACTCATCATGTTTCTAATTACAGACTTATTTACATATTAATTGTCCAACTTTTATATAACGTAAACTTTGTGTTTTACAGCTGTCCTTCTACAAACCAACATCAAATAGACATAAGATTCTCATGGAAGCAAAAGCATTTCCTTCTGATCATGTAAGAACTACTTTGTGGCACTAGAATTACTCAAGTCCTTGTATAGGTTACGTGGTGATTTATTCATTGACACTAAGTTCTGTTGGTGAAATATTTACGACTTGGCTCCTTGCCAATTGTTCAACATGCTTTATTACAAGATCACCTAGTGCGTATCTCATTACTGATGCTGTTTTTTGGGAAGAATATGCAGTTTGATTGATATAATGATTCAGTCAGAGACCATGGAAGTAGCTGAAAACTGACTATATTGATTTTTATGTAGTAAAAGCTAAAGTCTGCAAATCATTAATTACAACCTTCATTCCTTTAAAGTATGCAGTGGAGTCTCAAATCCGGCTTAAAGGACTAGATCCAAAGGAAAGTATGCTGTTGTTGTCTCCAGAGGAGGTTTGTATCAGTTTTTTTTTAATTGTTAAGCTTACATCCTTTATAATTGCAACAACACTCTCAGCTTATATGCATATAGAATAATTTATACCATTATTTAGGAATATATTTTCCTGTATTTCAGTATTACCAGCACAAGTTATTTGGGTCAATATGGATTCCATATACGGCATGGCAATCTAGTGAAAGTTCTAGAACTATAAGTGGTGACAAGGATAAGCCAGATACTTTATTGTGATTGACTGCAAATCCATACCTTACTAATATTGTTATAGTACTGAGTGAATACATCTCACTCTTGACTGAGGGTCATAAAGCTCAAACTGTATTATTAAAGTAGCATAAAGAGAGCATGAATATCCCTGATGAAAGCAGTTCACACACAGCTACTTCCATCAAACACTGAGAGCCATAGTTTCACATGGTCAGGAATGATGGATCACATCCAGAGTGAGATATAGCCCGACTGAATATATAGTTTGAGGAATTTGGAGGCAGTGTGGGAATTCGGTGCAGGAGGGAAGAGGTGTTTTTGCTTGCTTTCTTTTGGCTCGTAGTTAGTAAGGTTTTTTAAACAGGATAAATTGAAGCCCAGGATCAAGGGTCCAGAAGAATTTTGTCACAGGTAAACCGTAAGTTCATTGTTTGGTGATAGCTGCTAATTTAACTATCTTTTCTGGTTACTTTCTGACTGAAGGTAATTAGGGGAAATATTTACAGGCTACAAAATAAAAGACAATTTTTTTTTAAAAGTCAAATTAAAAACAACATAATTAAAATAGAGATGCTGGGCCAGCCGATGTGTGTAACTGAGAGCCAGTGGACCCTATTGTGGTTTATAGTGACCTCATTTGTAGCAAGTGTTAGTTGATTCAGAGACTCTGGCTCAGAATTGATGAGCTGGATCTGCGCTTCAAACACTGTGACACATCAGGGAGCGGATGAATTACCTGGATGCTGTGTTTCAGGAGGCAATCACAACAGTTAGATTGATTATCTTGAATTCAGTCAATAGTCAGGGACAGGAGCATGTGACTACAAGAGAGGCAGGTAGATGGATCCAGGAGATAGTGTTGAAGGAGACTCAGCCCTTGAGCTTGTTGAGCATTGAGATTCTTGCTCCCTTTGCGGATGAGTGTGGGAACTGTAGGGAGGATGACCAAACTGACCATAGCACCATTGTACAGGGAGCCATTCAAGTATGGGGAGAAATAGGATAATAGGTCAACACGACGTCATGGGCCGAAGGGCCTGTACTGTGCTGTACTGTTCTATGTTCTCTGTAAAAGAGAAATACAGTTGTAATCAGGGATAGTACAGTCAGGAGAATAGACACTGTTCTCTGTGGCTAGGATTGAGAGTCCTGAAGGCTATGTTGCCTGACTGGTGTCTGGGTTCATGATATCTCATTTGGGCTGCTGAGGAACTTGGAGCGGGAGGGAAAGATCCAGTTATTGTGATCCATGTAAGTACCAAAAAGTAGAAAGAGGAAAGAGGGTCTGCTGACAGAATGTGAGCAGCTAGATACTGAATTAAAAAGCAGAACCAAAAGCTAGTATTCTCTGGATTACTACCTGGGCTATGGGCAAATTGGCACAGGGTCAATGAGGTTATAAAGGTAAATGAGTGACTCAAAGATTGATGTGGAAGAAACAGGCTCAAATTCATGGGATAATTATTCCAGTACTGGTGAAGAGGGAGCTGAGACAAGAGCTGAAGATGAAGGAACCCATGGGGGCAGTGAAAAAAATCATAAAATGTTGTAACTGCAGTTTGAGAGGGAGAAGATTAAACCAGATGTAACTATATTGTATTATAACTGAGTAAGTGTGACTACAGAGACATGAGGGAGGAGCTGGCCAGAGGTGATTGGAAGGGGTGCCCAGCAAGAAAAACAGTGGAGCAGCAATGGCAGGAGTTTTAGGGGTAATTCGGGAGGCACAGCAGAAATTCATCACAAGGAAGAAGAAGCAAACTAAGGGGAGGATGAGGCAAACATGGCTGATGAGCGAAGTCAAGGACAGCATAAGAGCAAAAGGAAAATCATATGATGTGGTGAGGAGTAGTGGAAAGCCTGAGGATTGGGAAGCCATTAAGAATCAACAGAGGATAACTTGAAAAAAAAGAGAAGATGAAATAAGATAGCTCGAAATATAAAAGAAGATTGTAAGAGTTTTTTCTTCAGATAGCTAAGTAGTAAGACAGAAGCAAAAGTGGACATTGGGCTGCTGGGAAATGAGACTGGAGGTGTGTTAATAGGGAACAAAGGAATGGCGGAGGAACTGAATAGATACTTTGCATCAGTTTTCATGGTGGAAAACTGCAGAAGCATAATAAAATTTCAAGAGAGTCAGGGGACAGAGATAAGTGTAGTGGCCATCACTGAGAAGAAGGTGCTGGGGAAGCTGAAAGTTCTGAAGGTGGATAAATCACTCAGGCCAGATTGACTACACCCCAGAGTTCTGAAGGAGATAGATGAGAATATTGAATTATAGAATCCCCATAGGATCAAGGAGGCCCATCGAGTCCACACTGACCCTCTGAAGACCATCACACCCAACCCACCACTCCCACCATAACTCTGTAACCATGGCATTTCCCATGGCTAACCCACCTAGCATGCACATCCCTAGACACTATTAGCAATTTAACATGGCTAATCCACCTAGCTTGCATAACTTTGGACTGTGGGAGGAAACCAGAACACCCAGAGAAAACCCATGCAGACACAAGGAAAATGTACAAACTCTGCCCGGGAATCAAACCCAGGTCTCTGGTGGCGTGAGGCAGTAGTGCTAACCACAGGAATCAGTGAAGTCAGGCAAAGTCCTAGAGGACTGGAAAATGGCTAATGTAACACCCTTGGTTAAGGCAGAAGATAGGAAATTATAGGCTGGTTAACCTGACTTCAATTATTGTTAAAGATTTCTTGAGACAGCGTGGTAATATAGGACAGAGTCAGCAGGGATTTTTCAAGGGCAGGTCATGCCTGACAAATCTGTTTAAATTCTTTGAGAAAGTAATAAGCAAGTTAGACAAAGGAGAGCCAATGGATGTGATCAATTTGGATTTCCAGATGCCTTTGACAAGGCGCCGCACAGAAGGCTACTAAATAAAATAAAAGTTCATGGTGTTAGAGGCCAGATACTTGCATGGATGGAGCATTTGGCTGACTGGAAGAAGACAGAGAATGAGGATAAAGTGATCTTTTTCAGGATGGCTGCTAGTGACTAGTGGAGTTCCGCAGGGACTGCAATTATTCATGTTATATATTAATAGTCTGGATGTAGGAACTGAGGGCATAGTTGCTAAGTTTGCAGATGATAGAAAGATAGGTGGAGGGGCAGGTAGTTTTGAGGAAGCAGGGAGGCTGCAGAAGGACTTGGACTGGCTAAGAGAGTGGAAAATAAGTGACAGATGGAGTATAATGTTGGAAAGTGGGAGTTCATGCACTTTGGTCAGAAGAATAGAGGCATAGACTGCTTTCTCAACAGGGATAGGTTTCAGAAATATGATGCACAGAAGGACCTAGGAGTCCTAGTTTAGGATTCTATTAAGATTTACGTACAAGTTCTCTTGGCAGTTAGGAAGGCAAATTCAATGTTAGCACTCATTTCAAGAGAGCTTGAATACAAAAGCAGGCATGTACTGCTGAGGCTGTATAAGGCTCTTGTCAGACCAAATTTGGAATATTATGAACAGTCTTCGGCTCTGTGTCCAAGGAAGGATGTGCTGGCATTGGAGGATGCCCAAAGGAGGTTTACAAGAATGATCCTGGGGATGAAGGGCTTGTCATATGAGGAGCAGTCAAGAACTTGGGGTCTGTGCTCAGTGCAGTTTAGAATGATGAGGGGGGATCTGATTAAAATTTACAGAATACTGAGAGACTTGGACAGAGTAGAGGTGGAGAAGATGTTTCCAATAGTAGGACAGACGAGGACCTGAAAGCACAGCCTCAGAGTGAAGCGATAACGCTTTGGAATTGAGATAAGGAGGAATTTCTTCAGCCAGAGGGCATTTAATCTGTGGAAACCATTTCCACAGAGCGCTGTGGAGGCCAAGGCATTGAGTGCACTTAAGACAGAGAGAAATAGATTCATGATTGATAGGGGGAATTAAAGGTTGCAGGGAGAAGGCAGAAGAATGGGATTGAGAAACATATCAGCCATGATCAAATGGTGGAGCAGACTCAATGGGATGAATGGTATAATTCTGCTCCTAAATCTATAGCGTTCTGGAATCTGCTCACAATTGATTAATAGAGAGAGAGTCGTAGAGTTTAGATTGCCATTTGTTATACTGTATTTCCAGGACATTCTAGAAGCAAGTCATAATTTCTGAATGCACAGGCAATTTATGCTGCCTAAGATTCAATGTAATTACAAATTTGGGACAATTTAATTGGAACACTCAAAGATGAAGTTATATAAAACGTATTTCATGTGCTACTGCATTTCTTAGTGTTATAAATTCAACGTATCTCTATCTCAAAATAACTATGTATATAGTCTGAGGTATATCTTGCCACAGAAATGAAGATTTTGATTCAACTGAAAAGTTAAAACAAAATCCTTATTCTTGCTTGCTCACTAAAAGCAAGCATACAGGTGCAGCAAGCAATTAGGAAGGCAAATGGTATATTGCTTTGCATTGGATGAGGGTTTGAGTGCAGAAGTCAAGATGACTTTCTGAAATTGTAAAGATCGTTTATGAGACTGAGCCTGAAATGTTGTGTGCAGTTTTGGTCTCCTTATCTAAGGAATGACATATTTGCAATACTGCCATGGAAGTTCAGCCTAATCCATGCGATGGTGAGATTGTTTGATGAGGAGAGATTGAGGAAGTTGGATACATGTTGGTGAGAGTTTTGAAGAATGAGGGGAGATCTATTAGAAACACTCAAAAATCTGACAGAACATGACAAGATGGATATAGATAGGATATTCCCTCTGCCTGTTTATTCTAGAACCAGTTGACATAATTTCCAAATAAGGAATGGG